ACAATTCCAAAGTGCTTTAGACGCAGTCAAACGGCAGGAACTTTCCATTACTGTTGAACTTGAGCCTGCTTCTTTATTGGGTTTTATTTGTTGCTGCATTCTTCCTCGGTATGACATGGACTTGGAGGAACCCATGTCATTGTACGGGATCTTCAGCTGTGACGGTGAAGAGATCAAAGACAATGCAGATTCAGAATCCAGACTAAGCAATGAATTGAGTATGGATCACATTTTGCTATGGCAAGAACATTTTGTACGCAAATCAAAGGGAACTACTCAAAAAAGAGAAGAAGATCATAAGGGCGTCACTTCTAAGTTTGGCTTTTCATTGTACGTTGAACATTATATAGAGACTGGTTTAGTGACTGATGGTGAGAGACTTAGCGTAACAAATCGGTGTGGAATTTGCCCAATATATGCCTCAAACGGTCAAAAAATAGTTGAACAAATGGAATTGGAGTGGGAGAAGGGTACAAAAAGGAAGAGATCTCAAGATTTTGATTGGGTATGACAAAGTATTGCCAACGAAAGAGATTGGTGCTCTGATTTTATGAGAACATCGAATAGAAATTGTTATCCTCCTTGAAATATTATTCATTCTGAAGAGTGAAGGCTCTCTGTGTCTATTCCTATTGATATGCTTTTTCCCCTTTTTTTTACTCAAAATTAGACTCTAATTTAATTTCTTTTCAACTCCTATTGCTACGAGCAGGTTTCTATTCAGAGAACCTCAATGGTACTTCTTCGGTAGCAAAACTCCAACCATGAAGCAGTATAGATACTTTGTCTTAACTTCTGTTCCCTTTTCTTCCGTATGCCCTTGCTCACAATTAATTTCATCTTTCATGATTATGCATGAGAGGCATTCTTTTAAACGCGGATTGTGTTATTCTCTGGTATGAGGAGCATTAAGTTAAGAATGCTCAAACAAGTTATGAAAAAATATTATATATAATTTGGGTTAATACCAAATTTGACCTTATTTTAGTTTTGATCTCTAACATTTGATCTCATTTTGTATGCTTAAAGATATTTTGTCTCTGAAATAATGTTTTTCGTCTGTCAAATCGCCGATTTTAAACTTCAAAGATAAAAAATAAAATGAGGTTAAATTTCAGAAACTAAAGGTGACATTAATCTTATAACTTATGAATTCAGGTATTAATAATTTTATTGGACAATGAATGAAAATAATATCTTTTAAAGAAATTGAGTGGTTCCATTTTGATATGTGTGATCTTATTGATATGATTTAATTATCTTTTTTTCTTTTCGAAAAACTTGAGTCATATAATTGTGGACAGTGGACATAAATGTGTGGTTACTCATATGACAGTAATACAAAACATGACATCGCGCAGTGAAAAATAAAAAAGTTGTATTATTATTGTTGTTTTCTTAACCATTGTCACTGTAAGCCAAGCTAAACTCGGTATTTTGCTGGAATTTATAACGAAATAATTGAGAAATCAAATTCATTGTACGATTTTGTTTTTTGAAGAATTGTTGGGCACGTAAAAACATTCCTTACAAAGAGCATCAAAAGTTTTGACATGTTTGCAGAGATAAAATCATAAAAATACCATTAAAAATTAAAATTATCATCAAGTAAATCATAAACCAAGTTTAGTTTTCATTCGTCAATGTGAACGAGAAACATAATTAATAAACGATTCAATATTAAAACTTTTTGTTTGAGTAGCAAGCGTGTGAAACAGGGAAACGGTCTTAATTAAAAATTGTCAGGTATAATTATATTAAGAAGCCTATTCCTGGCCAAAACTATAATGAATCCTACTAAACTATTGCCCAAAACACAGAGACTAAATTGATAGGTGTGAAAGCATCTTTTTCTTTAATGTATGTGCCCAAATTACTGGTGGAAAGCAACATCATCCTCCAACACCAATATCATAAATCAATGAACTAATCAATTTTAATTATTTTTTGATAGTGAGTGTGAAACAGGGAAATCATTTTTATGCATTCAAATTGTCCAAAGAAGCAGACCATTCTCTCTGAAAAGTTATTTTTAATTAATATCATCAACTTTTAAAAGTTAAAGGTATGCCGTTTTCCCTCCGAAATCAGCGTTCTTCTTCTTCCTTAGTCGTCTTTAGGTAAAGTAGGTCCTGTTTCTTGTCAACATGTATAAAAGAATGCGCCCCCCGTCTCTATATCAAATATGTGCGTTTGTCTATATATATAAAATGGTCAATTATATATAAAACGAAGAAAAATACAACTCTAGTTCATATAATACAGTCCAGGGAATGAGCAATTAACGAAAAATTAGTTATATAAAAAAATAATTGGAAAAAGATTGGAATGTATGTTTCTCGAATAGATATCATTTTCCAATGTGTCACTCAACTTCACTACAAAAAAATAGACTTTAGGCGACGACTTTCGGCGGCGACAAAAAAAGTCGCCGCTGAAAGTCCACTTTCGGCGGCGACACCAAAAAGTCGCCGCTGAAACCAAAACTTTCAGTGGTGACAAAAGTGTCGCCGCCGAAAGTGGACTTTCAGCGGCGACTTTTCTAGTCGCCGCTGAAAGTTCGCCATTGAAACCAAGACTTTCAGCGGCGACAAAAGTGTCGCCGCTGAAAGTGGACCTTCAGCGGCGACTTTTTTTGTCGCCGCTGAAAGTATAATATAATAATATATATTTTATTTTATAATATTAATAAACAAATTGCCGAAAGTGGACCTTCAGCGGCGACTTTTTTTGTCGCCGCCGAAAGTAGACTTTCAGTGGCGACTTTTTTTGTCGCCGCCGAAAGTGGACTTTTAGCGGCGACTTTTTTTGTCGCCGCTGAAAGTATAATATAATAATATATATTTTATTTTACAATATTAATAAACAAATTGCCGAAAATGGACCTTCAGCGGCGACTTTTTTTGTCGCCGCTGAAAGTATAATATAATAATATATATTTTATTTTACAATATTAATAAACAAATTCAATCTGGCTCAGCGGCAAGAAGGTTGGACACGAAGGGAGGCGGTCACGAGTTCGAACCTGGAAGAAGACACATTTAAGGTGAAAATATTTAGACGATGACGTGGCGAGGAGGAGTGACGTGGCAATGACGTGGAGGTGGCTAGTGATGATGTGGCGGTCGGCGGTGATGACGTGGCCGCCGATGGCGATGACGTGGAGGCTGACGTGGCGGCCGGAGACGATGACGTCGCACCGACGGTGATGACGTGGCATTGGTAAAGCCAATTCTTCTTAGGCATTACTTTCAGCGGTGACAAAAAAGTCACCGCAGAAAACACTTTCGGCGGCGACATTTGTCGCCGCTGAAAAGCCTTTCAGCGGCAACAATAAAGTCGCCGCAGAAAACCCTTTCGGCGGCGACTTTTTTGTCGCCGCGGAAACGCTTTTCAGCGGCGACAAATGTCGCAGCCGAAAGGGTTTTCTGCAGCGACATTTGTCGCTGCTGAAACTTCTAAAAGTCGCCGCTGAAAGTATCTTTTAACGACGACCTTTTTAGTCGCCACTGAAAGTTTTCAGCCACGGCTGCTACGGCAACGACTTTTCAGCGGCGACTTGTCGCCGCAAAAAACTTTTGGCGGTGACTTTTGTACTTTCAGCGGCGACTTTTGTCGCCGCTGAAAGTCAATTTTTTTGTAGTGCTTTAATTTGAATAAATGAGAACATCATTGAACAAGTCTTTCCTGCTTTTAACAGGCACCAATGTGATTCAAGGATAATGTTGAGGCAACTTGGATAACCCATTGTAATATTAGTCTCTAACAAAATATGCGAGAAGCAGATGATTATCAGAAAACTTGCAGTTCCACCTATGATCAAAGTAATAAATTTTTGCAACACAAGTGTTATACCATATAATCTTAATGGGGGCAATTTAGGACGGTTTATTTAAATCTGTATAGAGAATGGTGATTATAAAACAGCGCAAAAAAAAAATCTATTAATTTTTCTTAATAATACAGGATGGATGGAGAAGTTTTAATTATTTTACATAAATTAAAGGAATTTTTTGAAATTAATAAAAAATGGTTAGTTATTTTTAATTTGTATAAAATCACAGGTACCTAGTAGCGACATTTAATATGGCCCACATACTTAGGATACGAACATAAAATCTCTGGACTAGCAGCCAGAGAAGATAGCATTTGACTATAAAGCAATCAAGTCAACACATCAACTATTTGTTTGATTTTTATTTTCTTTTTGGAGCATGACAAATGGAGAAAACGAGCATAAGCCAATTTGTCATCTTAAATTATTGAACTTGCTTTCTAATAACGAACACTCCTCGTATTGATAAGGAAGTTTCCCAGAAACCTTCTTCCATTCTTCGCTTAAAAACTGCATTGCTGTCCACCCAGACATCACTTTTACTCTTAGTTGGCCAGAAATAAGGTTTGATCTATCCAGGTATGATGATCTTCTTTTGATTCTTTTGATTCTTTCGCTTCGCATATTGGCCTGTTCAATGACGCCTGGACGCTCATATCTGGATTTTAGATTTTGTTCCTTGAAGTCTGATCCGCTTGTTTAAGCTAATAAGTCCTTCAGCCCGTTTCAGATTGTAATTAGTAGTATTGTTACTTCTGAGATGCTCAACTATTTTTTGTTAGAGGAGAACTTTTCTCCGCCGAGTTATTTACCTTTATTTCATTTATTTCCTGTTTATTGGTCTGAATTACAATTGTAAATGAGCTATCCTGTTCTTCTAGCGTTGAGAATGGTTTTTGGCACATACTGATGGTTTTTTCCCACTTTATTATGTTCTAGATGTGAAACCAGCTTTAACTATATCCAAGCCGCCCATGCTAGTTGCTTTCATTTTCTTTTTCGCCATCGCCATGCCAGATACAAATTAAACTCACATGGGAGTAGACATTAATATTTAAACAGTTATATGTTTATTAGAATGTTATAGACGGAAACTTGAGGGCAGAGATTAGCATCAAACTTATTAGGAATAATTGACACCCATGGCTTTTTTTTATGTCCAGTAATGGCAACTTTTACAACTTCTTCCGAAGTTCGGCAGGAAAAATATGATGTTTTTGTTAGTTTTAGAGGTTCAGACATTAGACGTGGATTTCTTAGCCATTTGACAAAGCAATTACGACTAAAAGGGATAGATGTGTATGAGGATGAGAGGTTAGAAAGAGGAGATGAAATATCATCTGCACTTTTGGAAGCAATAGAAAGATCAAGAATTGCGTTGGTGATATTCTCAAAAGACTATGCTTCTTCAAGGTGGTGCATAGAAGAGCTAGAGAAAATCATGGAATGCAAGCAAGTCAATAATCAGATTGTAATCCCAATTTTCTATAATATAGATCCATCACACGTTAGGCATCAGGAAGGATCTTATGCAGATTCATTTGCTCAGCATGAGCAGAAGTTTAAAGACGACTTGTTGCGAGTTTGGAGATCTGTCTTGAAAGAAACTGCAAACTTATCTGGTTATCATCATTCCTCAAATTTTCAGTAAGTTTTTCCCTCTTTCTATTAATTATTAGATAAATCTTGTCATAGTTTGTGAATTATATATTTTCCCCATAAAAATTTTAAACATAATTATATCCATACATGTAATATTGATAATTATATTGAGGCTTGTATTACATTATTCTTAAAAATGTGCTGTGTGATTTTCTTAAAAAAATTTTTCTTTTCTTTTATCATGGCAGAAATGAATCTGATCTTATTGATGGAATAATTAAAGATGTATCAAAAAAGCTAGAGGGTAAAGACACAATTGAGCCAAAGGGCCTCATTGGAATTGAGGAAAATGTGGCTACTATTGAATCATTCATGAAAGATGACTCACAAAAAATCAGAGTTCTTGGAATTTGGGGTAAGGGAGGGATAGGTAAAACAACCTTGGCTCGTGCCACATTTGATAAGTTTTCCCACCAATTTGATAGTTCTTGCTTTGCAGCAAATGTGAGAGAGGAATCAAAAAAGATTGGATTGACTCGTTTGCTTAAAGAAATTCTCTTAGTACTACTAAAAGATGAAAGTATTCTCAAAATCGATGGAATGCCTAATATTCAAAGGAGGCTACATCGAACAAGAGTTCTTCTAGTGCTTGATGACGTAGACCACCCCAGTCAATTACAATATCTTATTGACGAAAATCTTTTGTTGGGACCAAGTAGCAAAGTCATCATAACAAGTAGAGACAGGCATGTTCTTATTAGTGGAGGAGTTCATGAAGTACATGAGGTGAAAGAATTAAGCAAGGACGAATCGCTTCACCTTTTTTGCCGGCATGCTTTCAAGGAAGGCCATCCCAAACAAGGATATGAAAAGTTATCAATGCAGGTAATTGAATATGCAAAAGGTCTTCCTCTGGCATTAAAAGTTTTGGGTTCATATTTGAACACTAGAAATACAAAAGCATGGGAGAGTGCCCTTAAAAAATTGAGAAAATATCCAAATAGGGAAATTCAAACTGTGTTGAGGGTGAGCTACGATGGACTTGATACATCAGAAAAGGGGATATTTTTAAATGTTGCATTCTTCTTCAGGGGAGAAAAGAAAGAAGATATTATGAGGTTGCTCGATGCTTGTGATGATGACCTCTACGTGGACATTGGAATAGATAGGCTTCTGGATAAAGCACTCATAACCATTTCAAGTCACAATAGAGTAGAAATTCATGATATGCTACAAGAAATGGCTGAAGAAATAGTTCGTGAGGAATCCAGAGAGTATCCTGAAAGTCGAAGTCGATTAAATGATACAAAAGAAGTTCAAGATATATTGGAAAATAACAAGGTAAATAAAGGATGCTTTAACTTCCTTTTTCATTCACTAAATTATTTCATTCGAGATTTTTTACACGCCACTTGTTTAATATGTTATTTGAATTTTGTTATGTTTTAGGGAACTGATATAATTGAAGGCATTGCATTGAACCCAGATGAGTTAAGAAGTGACATACACTTGAGTGTTGACGCTTTTAGCAGAATGAGTAATTTAAGATTTCTCAAGATTGGTCTTAATTTTCAAGGCAAATGTAAAGTGCTTTTTCCTTTTGGTCTAGAGTCACTTCCTAATAAACTAAGATATTTGTTTTTGGGGACATTGTCCTTTGAAGACTCTACCGCTAGGTTTTTGTGTAGACAAACTTGTTGAAATCCACATGCTTGATAGCAAACTCGTAAAACTATGGGAAGGTGTGCAGGTATGGCTATGTATTAATGCATGTTTCATTGTTTAGTCTAATTGAATTATGAGGGCTTTTTTCGGTAACTTTTCTCTTTTAATTGTCACAGGATCTTATGAATATGAAGATAATAAATCTTGCCTATTCGCACAAGTTAAAGGAGTTGCCTGATTTCTCCAGGGCACAAAATCTTCAAATAATGGACCTCGGATATTGTAATAGTTTATGCAGTATTCATCCATCAATCTTCTCTCTTCCTAAACTTATTTGTTTGAATCTAGAGGGCTGCTCCAAATTAAAGAATCTTCACGGGGATAACTATTTGAAATCTCTCAAGGAACTCAAGCTGACATACTGCATTGGTCTCAAGAAATTTTTGTTGTCATCAGAAGAAATGAGAAGTTTACATTTGGGTAATACTGGTATCAAAACATTAAACTTGCCAGTTGGACGGTTCAACAAACTTGAAGAGCTATATCTCAGTGGGCCCCTCAGGAGCTTTCAAGTAAATGAGCTAAGTTGCTTGACATCTCTTAAAATATTCTCTCTTTATCGTTTTGGAGGATGAATAGACAAATCAAAATTAGTCATTCTGTTTGATGCCTGGTGTTCATTAGAAGAATTGAGGTTGAGATACTGTGAGGTTTCTGAGATCCCTGACAATATTAGTTCCATGTCATTGTTGAAGATTCTATCACTAAGAGGAAGCAGCGTTAAAAGTTTGCCAGATAGCATCAAGCATCTTTCAGAACTTAGAGAAATTGATTTGGGTGGATGCAAGAGGCCTAGGTCCTTACCAGAACTTCAACCTTCCCCTATTTATTGTTATCTCAACGAATACCAATCACTGGAGACCTTCAGTTTCCTACTGATGCAATCAATACATAACTCTAGTGAGTTTAGAGTTTGTTATCCTGGAAGCACAATCCCACGGGGCTTCAAATATTCTCAGACTGCTAAGAGTTCTATTAGTATTGAACTTGCACCAGCTTCATTTGACCATTTATTGGGTTTCGCTTTTTATTGTATTGTTTCCGCATTGCCAAGAGACTATTTACCACCAGTTGGCAGAAAATTCCACTTTGAAGAAGAAAAGATCTATTACAGGGTTGACGACAAACTCATTTACCTCGAGTATCTGAGCACAGATCATGTTTTGTTATGGTATGATCCAGTGGATCGCATGTTGAAGGAAAACCAAAGAAGGCGATTTGATGAGGGCGCCACTTACAAGTTTGCATGTGAATTTTCCTTCGGATATTTCTTCGGTTTTCATAATGACAGGATAAAAGGGTATGGAATTTGGCCAATATATGCATCATAAATACAGAAATACAGGAGAAAATGGAATTAAGGCTAGAGACGGATGCTGTTACCGGCAGGCAGTACCAGCCAGCACCCTAATGCTGAAGTGTCCCAACATCAGCCAGCACGTGATTCCGTTAGGAGAAGCACTCGTGTGTGCCAAAGGACAGGGAACTTGACCACGATGCCTTACACTTTGAGAACCAAGAGATGCCGGAATGAGTACATGACCCCAAAGGATAACAAAAGAATCGCGTGACAATACAATTCCAGGTCCAACAATTTTTTTAATTCTTTCTAGCCTCCAACAATGCATGAAAAGAATTGTTTATTCTCAATGTGAGTGGCCTTTGGTTCTCATGCCCAGCATCCATTAAAATAATAAATAAACATTAGAAAAATCTCCAAACTAAGCTACTGCATATATATATATATATGCAGCTATCTCTAATTTCTATCCACAGGCACCTGCAACCAAAAATTGTAGCGATAATGGATTCATTGATTTTTAATTCCTTTAGGGTGCCTTAGTCCCCTGCTCTCCAAATTCTGGTTTCTTACCAGGAAGTTTAGTGCTATATGTGGCTCGACTGGTAGTAAATATTGCGTGTACATATGGATATTAACAATGTATAACAGTTAAGTATTTTGGCCTTCTTCATAGCTGGTCAATTTCCAATGTCCATGTGATTTTTTGCTCTGCTCTTTACTAATGTTAACGATAGCATATAAGTCTGAATTGCGTTCATGCACATCTTGGATTAGAGACAACCCTTGTACAGAATAAAACTTAGAATGAAAAAAAAACATAGAAGCCTTATATTATATATTTCACCTGTTTAACTTTGCATATCATATAATATTGGTTTTGTGGGCCAATCCAATTATGAACAGAGCATGTGAAGCCTGTTTTTCATCACCGACAGGTCTAGGAGGATCGAGGTGGGCGACATGAATGTAACTATCATCGCCTTCATTTTACCAGTTGGTCATCAAGTGAAGAACTCTAAATCATTTGAGTTGTTAATTAACGTGTTGTTTCTTGTCTTTTTCCTGGTGATTTGGTTCTGCTTCATCTGCAATACCACAGGTGGAAAATATGACAGTGTGGGAATGACAAGAATGATATGTGATTGTGAACCATTTGGAAGATATGCCAAACTTGGTGGTTATGATTGTATTTGGCTTTCGTGCTTTGTGTGCCGACTTCAGAAAGTCAACTGATTTTTTCTACTCAAAAATTTTTGGCCAAATCAGATGTTATATTTGTTCAGAATTAGTCTTCCTTTTTTTTTTCCTTTCTCACCGCAAAAATAGGTGAGAAAATCATCAAATCTGTTTGTTGTATCTCAGAGCAGCGTAATGAATTCCTTGGTATATGATGATTGAATAAAGCCTCTGTTTTTCCTATAAACAGAAGCAACCACCATCACTGATTTCTCTAGTAACATTGGTTTTGTCCCATTTCAAATCCAAAAGCTAAAGGGGGAAAAAAGTGATGTATTTATATATAGAGATCAAGGAAAGCCTATGAAGCTAGTGCTGTATCGCCATTATACTTCCAAAAAATTATTTTCATATGTTTATTGATCGTTAATTTCACCTATTTCTTTGTTTATTGACTTCGTTTAAGTGAAAATTATTTTTAAATAAATTTCTTGGATGTTTATTAGTTGTTAATTCCCCAAGTCCTTTTGAGTTTTGACTTTGGAGTCTTTGAGAAAGCCAAAATGAAAACATGACACTGGGCAATAAAAAAAAAACTGTATTATTCTTCTTGTTTTCTTACCTCTTGTCACTATAAGCGAAACTAAACCGAGTACTTTGCTGCAATTTATAGCGAAATAATTGAGAAATTAAACTAATTTTACGATAATTTTTGAAGGATTCATGGACACATTATGAGGAAAAAAAAAACTCTTGAAAAGAACACATCAAATATTGCGGGAAACAGAGACTAAAAACATAACGATTATGGAAAACTGCTATGAGCCCAATCTCTGATGTCCCAATATCCACAAAGCCAACTACTAAGGATTCGACCCAAGTCCAGCCAAGGCGGAGCAGAGCACGCAGGGTGGGAAAGAGTAGAGGAAATTTCACATTAACTAGGAGAAGAATGTTTCCACTAACCTCTCTCTACTACCTCTCCATTTAATATTGTTATCATTGGATTAACTTTTAATAGTTGATATTCAAAACTAAGTAAAAATATTAGATATAATAAAAATTTACAATTGCTAAACCATTCACATCAAATTGTAATACTATAAATTTATCCACCAAATTTTTTATTTAAAATTTAATATTATAATAACATTTTTGCATAATAAATCTTAACCATTGAAACTTAATCTAATAGTAAAAATATTAAGTGGAGAAAAAATGGAGAAGAAAGTTAATAGAGACATTTCTCTTCTTAATTAATATTATCAACTTTTGAAAATTAAAGGCACTTCCTTAATTATTCCCCCGAAACGGCCGCTTTTCTTCTTCCCCAGTCATCTTTATCTAAGGTAGGTCCTGTTTCTTGTCAACATATATATATATATATATATATAATAGAATGCGCCCCCATCTAATTATTAATATAAGACATAGTTGATTAATTTTAAAAAAATTTAAAAAAAATTAGTTAAATTTGTTATTTGTAATAATTAGAGTTTTTTCCTAAAATACCCTCATTAATAATGTGTTTGAATTACAGATTGATAGTAAGTGCTTAACATATATAACCACTATAGCAATTACTTGAGGGCAAATTTGAATGAATATTAGAAACAAAGTGAATTGTAGTACTACCTCCGGTCCTTAATATAAGATCTCGTTTGCCTTTTATTTTGATCCTAATTACAAGACCACAATCCACTTTGTCTCTTATATTTATGTACTACCTCCATTTCTTAATATAAGACTCTGTTTGACTTTTATTTTAGTCCTAAATATAAGACCCCAATCCACTTTGTCTCTCATATTTATGTATTTTTTTTCATGATAGTCCTTTTAATAATTGTAGTTTTAGCCAATATAGTTGATTAGTAAGGACATTTTAGAAAAAAACAACACCTATTTATTACAAATAACTAACTTAACTTCTTTTCTTAATCTTCTCAAATTAGTCAACTGGATCTTATAATTAGGACCGGAGGTAGTATTTTTTCCTCAAAATAGTTCCTCTATTAATGGTAGTTCTAGCCAATAGACTTAATTAGCAATGATATTTTAGGAAATACAACACCTATTTATTACAAATAACTAACTTAACTTATTTCTTTAATCTCCTTAAATTAATTAACTAGTTATTATAATTAGGACCGGAAGTAGTATTATATTTAGGATTAAATTGAAAGTCAAACTCCCTTTATAGTAAGAACTAGAGGTGGCATATGTGTGTGTATATAAGGATCAGTTATATATAAAATGAAGAAAATTATGCAACTTTGGTTAACACAACGTTAATACAATTTTTAGGCTAAAATATTTTTTTAAAAAAAAAAACTCTCCTGAATTTTGAGTGCGTCACTAATGTTTCAAAGTTTAAATTTAGCCTTCTTGATCTTATAATTTTTTACCTCAAGCCCCCTATCATTAATAGGTCTCATATGGAAACTGCCATGTCGGATTATTGAGGATGAGTTGGCATCCTACATAAAATAAAAAATAGCGTGTGTATGGGTTAATAATTTATGATAATTATATAGTTTTTATAGAAGGGTGAAAATGCCATTTGTCATTAAAAATTACAAACCCTCATCTCCTTTATGTCCCTGGTGCGGCCTAATTCAACTTTCAATTCTTAAAAAGAACTCCTCGTTCAGCAGATTAACATTTTGGCTTTTCGGAGTGTTAGCGTTTTCTCTAATTGCTTGTACTGGTTTCTACATCGTATCTGTTAAACATATTCATTGTTGTGATTTAATTGGGTAGTTAGAATCTTGGGCTTTCTTGTAATTTTGTTAGATTCTTAGTTGAGTTCCCGTGCCTATATATATTGGGCTTGTAAAACGGATGAGTTAAGCAGTGTCAATAATACATGGTATTATTCAGATAATTGGGCCCTCTTGTTTTACATGGTATCGTTTAGAACTGCTGCTTACCTGATAAATCGTTTACCCTCTAGATCCTTGGGCTATGTTACACCTTATGAACTACTGCATCAAAGACCACCTTCCATTAAGCATCTAAGAATATTTGGCTGCCTTACCTATGCTGTGAATTTAAATTCCAAAGACAAGCTACAACCTAGAGCTGAGCCTTATGTTTTTCTAGGATATCCTACTACTCAAAAGGGATATCTCCTATATAGTATTAAAAATCAGAATTTGATTGTTACAAGGGATGCTACTTTTCTGGAAAACAAATTTCCTTTTAAAGATGCTAATAACATTAGCCAAAGGGGAGCCAATAAAGTCAGAATTGACCCCTTCTTGATTGATCATCATGATCAACAGCCCTTTAATATAATGCAGGATGAGGTTGAACATAATAGATACACAGACACACAGGAAACTGTTAGGGAGTTACAGAGTCAACATTTAGGACAAATTAATCCTAATCAATCCTCTTCTAATCAATCCAGTAGGCCTCTCAGAAATAGACAACCACCAAACTGGACTAAAGATTATGAATGTGATATTCTGCCTCGTTGCAATCAAAATAATGAATCTTTGCTTTCCTCTATCACTTGTGATGATTTAACTGATTCCTATAAGTGTTTTCTTTCTGCCATAGATAGGGAAATAGAACCAGATAATTATATGCAAGCTTCCAAAGACCCTAGATGGGTCACAGCCATGCAGAATGAGATGAAGGCCTTGGAAGCAAATAAAACTTGGGAGATAGTGACTTTACCTAAAGGAAAGAAACCAATAGGGTGTAAATGGGTGTACAAAGTGAAATATAAGGCTGATGGAAAGATAGATAAGTTTAAAGCTAGGCTTGTTGCTAAAGGGTATAGTCAAAAGGAGGGGGTTGATTTTTATGAGACTTTTTCCCCAGTTGTTAAAATAGTCACTATTAGAACTGTTCTTAAATTAGCTGCTTTGAATGATTGGTCTTTACATCAAATGGATGTGGATAATGCTTTTCTGCAGGGAGATTTACATGAGGAAGTATATATGACTGTACCTCAAGGTTTTGAGCAGAAATCTGTTCAGCTCAAAGTCTGTAAACTTCAAAA